GAGCTATTGCGTGAAAAATTTGCTACCCAATTATTATGCACTAATAGGCAAAAAAAAATTGCAAAAAATAAATACGTGTCAGAATGATTTATTTCTTAGTGATATCCAAATTGATACTAAATGGGGCAAATGGAAAAATCGTTGCCGAAATTCTGAGCAAATAATTACGAATTTGAATCAAAATATTTTTAATTTACAGCAACAAATTTTAGCGCTAAATAATAATCCTCAAAATATGGCAACGGTTATAGAATGTTCAAACGTTATTGCCCCATCACTTGCAACTATCCCCGAATATATTGGACAAGAGCATCCAGATACTTGGTATGAACGAATTACAAAATTATTCTTGCACCCTATTATAGACGGAAATGTTAATTTTACTGATGCACATAAGGTAAGTGTATTATCAAGCAAAATGGCTGGCCCTTACCATCCAGTACCGGCACAAAATGCTTATGTAAATCCTGCTGTAAATATTGATACTCCAGCCCGTTTCAATGCCTGGCTACTTTCAAAATATGCCGAAGAAAATATAGGCGGTATGACTATGGGCATCCAGGCTCTACTAAGTGAAAAATTTAGCCCATTTGACACGCCTGAATCATATCGAGATAGAATACGAAAAATTTCTATAGGAGTAACTGATGCAATAGGTGCTCGAGCCATGGCTAACTTTTTTTTTCGCGATGTTATATCTTGGATTCTATTTTTTAGGTCAATTATTTCTTGTTGAAGGTTAGATATTCGGCTATCTAAAATAACCAAGGATTCTTCTTTATACTCTGTATCTAACAATGCTTTTTTAAGGCGTTTTTGTAAGTCCATATTATTTTTACGAAGAATTTCTAGCTCTCCTAGCCCTTCATCCCTATTCGAGATTTCTTTTTCCAAATAGTTAATATATGCTTCATTAGATAATAGCGTTTTTTCTAGCTTTTGAATCTGTACATCTAATGATGGCATCTTGTGATCCTATAGTTCTGATAGATCCTATGGCCGAAATAAACTTGATTTGTAGGCTAATTTATTATAGGCCTGAAGGTTATTATAGAACGGCTAAAAAATTTCATGAAGCATGTAAAAAAAGCCGGATATAACTTTCACCCAAAAAAATATTTACGTGGATGGCTTCATAAACAGGCAAGTTGGCAGATACATGCTTCTAGACCTCAATATATTCCGTATGCGTCATTTAACAATATTACTGTACCAAATGAAGTCCTACAAGCTGATGTCCTTTATACTCCCTATGATAAAATCGGAAAAATTACATATTTATTTTGCCTTACTGTTGTAGATGTAGCTTCACGTTTTAAATGGGCTGAGCCTATTGGAACTACACTTGATACGAATGATGATTACTTTTCTCTGGAGGGCATTTTAACTTCAGCCGTGATTGCAGAATGTTTTGAGAAAATTTTTAACAATCCGAAATGCCCTCTTATGTGGCCAAAATTATTAATAACGGATAAGGGCTCTGAATTTAAGGGCGATTGTGAGAGGCTATTTTTGAAAAATGGCATAAAAATTCAGAAGGCTAATTCGAAACGTACTATGGGCATTGTTGAAAGATTTAATCGCACTTTATCTGAGAGATTATTCAAAATACAATATGCCGAAGAATTATTATTGCCTTTCCCTGAGAGATCAAGGGCTAATGATGTGACCCGAAACTCCAAGTTTAGGGAAAACCAGAAACAGAAACCTCCAGAAACTAGTTTAGGGAATTTTTAAAATCCTAAACCTTACTGAAACCCTAAACTGTTGCCAAAACTGAGTTAAAAAAAAGTTTAGGGAACTTTTAAATTCTGAAACTTTCAAAAAGAAACCTTTCCTTCATTAAAAAACTTCAATAAAAACCATAGTGAAATTTACCAAAAAAAAATTTTTTTATTTGAATTAAATTTTGATAACAAAATTAAAATATTTTATTTTTAAATTTTATAATTTTTTTTCTTCCTATCTCTAAATTCAAATTGTTTCCTTGGTAAATCATCACAATCATTTTTTCTTTTCAAGTTGGTTTTTTTATTGTTGTTGTTAGTTGGAATATTGTTATAGTCATCTATATCATTACTATTGTTACTATTATCATCTTTATTATTAAAATTGTCTTGATTGTAAATAATATCATCATGGTTGTTATTATCAATACCATCATTATTTATATAAATATAACTATTTGCAATATCAGCTTCACTTTCTAAATTAACTATATTATTCATATTGATAATATCACTATCATCAAATGAGTTCAAAAAACTATTTATCAAATCATTTGAATTGTATTTGTAATTTTCATCAATTATTTGATTTGTATTATTTTCTACATCTAAGTGAATTTGGCTTTGGTTACCATCAGTAAATATAGAATTATTTAAGTCAATTATTTCCTCTAATACAAAATTATTTTTTTTATCAATCTTGTAATTAGGTTCCACTTCATAAAAATCACTCTCTGATTCACTTATGTCATCTGACACACTATTCTCCTCCTCCACCTCCTCTGCCACATAATCATAATCATCATCATCCAACCAAAGCTTTGCATTTGATATTAAGTTTTTCAATTCTTCATCCGAGATATTTTGACCAACATATTTTAATTCTTTCTCAGTATTAGATAAATGATAGGAATGTATTTTCAACATATTTTCAATTGTTGTGATATTTAAATTTTGCCTTTTTTTTCCATAATACCAATCTAAGATTGAAAAAGACCTTTCGCAAGTTGCTGAATGTGGAACCACTGAAAATAATTTTATTGCAAATTCTTGCAAATAATCATGATCTTCTTCACATGTATACCACCAATTTAAAACATTACCACTTTCAAAACTGAAAGGTGAATTATATGATGAATTTCTTAATTTATAATTTCTCAATTGTTCCAATAAAATATTTTGTTCTCTTTCAGATCTCTTTAATTTTTGGAAATGATTCACCATGAATTCAACAATTATTTTAAAGTGACCTTTTTTGAGACCAGTTCCTAAAAAAAATAATAAATAAATGAGTATTTCTAATTTACAAACATTAATATTGACAAATATCTAACCTTTGTATCCAGGGTGCAAAAAATAGGCAGCCAAATATTCATCAGAGCTAAATTCAAGCCACCTAGAATTAAATTTTCTTATACAATAATTACAATAACTGCAATGAAAATGACTTGGTATAGTTTTAATTGAAGCAGCAAGTTTTATAAGTTGATAGTAGCAGTCAGCTAAATTTGTTTTATCTGATTCTAGAATTTCAATCCCTTCTTTTATTGGTTTTAGAATTAAATTTAAGTTTTTTAAATTCTTAAAAAAATTTCTTCCATTTAAAATATTCAAAACATCATCATTAGTTATGATATCAGGATTCTCGTTTAATATCTGAATAAATAAAAGAGTAAATAAAACAAGTTGATTAAAATAATGCATTTACTACAAATTATCATCATTACTTACTAATTGAAATACAGGTTGCAATCTTATAATAGAAGTTGTGGATGCATAAATTGAGGTCCATCTGGTTTCAGTGTACTTTTTTAGGCTTCCTCCAGTAATATTTAGCGTTTTAATGTAGCTTTCAAGCAAATTGCTGGCTTGGTATGATTTTTTAAAAAATTGATAATTTTTTTGCACTTGAAGACTAAAGTTTTTGCAAATTCATGTTTTAGTAAATCTTTTGTTATAAGATTAAAACAGTGAGCAATACACCTAATGTTCAATATTGATGGATATTTAGTAGTTATTAACTCTCGGGCAAGTTTAACATTACTAGCACCATCTGTTACAATAGCTGAGAGTTTTTCTACACCAATTTCTAAAATAATTGATTCAATTTGATCAGACAAAAAAACTCCAGTATGAGAACTTCCTGAAAAATCACATAACTTGTATGTATAACTTTTTCTTTGAGGAGTTATAACAACAAAATTCCAGAATGACTTGTTCTTAGGATTAGACCACCCATCTAGAGCTAAATATGATTATGGATATGGTTATTAATTAACTATTATAAAATTAATTAATAAAAATAAAACACTTAATAATAAATTGTTAAAAATATATATTTACCAAGAGTCATATTTTTATTTTTTTCAATATCCTGGTCTATTTTGCTAATCACATGAATCACTTCATCATTTAAATAATTAATTGATAATTTTTTACAATTTGGTGGTTGATAAGCTGGACGTAATTTTTTTAAAAAATCTACAAAATATGGGTTCTCAATAGTGTTATATGGAATGCCAGCCATTACAAAAGCACGAATTAAAGATTTATTGATGCTTTCTTCTCTCTCTTTTGTAAGGGTTGTACTTTCATAGAATTCAGATAAAGAAACTTGACGATTATTTGAATTTTTGTTATTGGATGTTGAATAATGAGAATCTTGAGCTTTTTTTTTATTGTTTCTAGACCTGCTCTTTTCAATTATTGAATCCAAATAATATTTACGAATTCCCTCATCACACTCAACACATTCTCTTGCTAAATGTTTTTCGAGAACATTTGGATATCCAACTTCAAAATATTTCAAGCAGTAATTGCACTTAGCATTGTAATGGCCTTTATTATTTTTAATTTCAGGTCCTTTTAAAAAATGTTCCCAAACTTGAGATAATGGTCTTCCGCCAAATGTCTTAGAATTTTTTTTTGTTCTAACTAAACCTGCACCTTCACTAGGAGACAAATCTGTATCAGACATTAAAAAATATATATTTAATTTTATGAAGTTGATTATAACAAGATGTAATTAATAAATCAATAATAAGATGGGAGAAAAAAAAATTTTTTTTTAATTTATTTGTAATACTAATTTTATTTGTTGTTTCGGGAGAGTTTAGGTTTCTGGAGTTTCTGGAGTTTCTGGAGGAGCTTAGGTTTCGGGAATTTAGGGAGTTTCGGGAGAAGTTTAGGTTTCGGATTTTTCACAGAAACTAGGTTCTTCTCCCGAAACTATTTTGGGAAGCCAAAAGAGTTTCGGGTCACATCATTGATTCCTACCACTAACAATATCCCTTATTCCCCCTAAAATATAAGGTAAGTAGTTAGTTGGTTGTTGAGTTTGTGGACTTTGTGATTTCTGCAAATCACTTAAACTTAAAGAAGTTAAACCCTGACTTTGACAATAAGATTGAATTAACTGTAATTCAGAAGTATTTATTGGTTTGGTTTCAGTATTAGAATTATTACTATGCTCAATTAGAAGTTTATCACCTTGTAAAGTAATGGATTTGATGCTGTGTTTGGTGAAATAAGCAAGAATTGTCTCTCTCTCTCTCTCTCTCTGGTGGATTATCACCTCCTTTATTTATAAATTCTTTGTTGGGTTGAGTTTTTAGTCAGTTTCTTACTTTATTGAAAAAGCAAGACAATTCATAAGATAATAATCTTCCTTAATTTTACCATTTTTTCCTATTGCCTTAAAAGTTCCTATATCATAGTAAATTTTTTGAAGACCTTGATTTGCCATTCATTGCTGAACTAAATCCTCCATAGTTTCAACAGGAGTAGAGTTTTTGTTTAATTCCTCATGTTCTTTAAAACTAAGTCTGTAAACAGAACCTAAATCACTAGCAAAAACTATTTCTAATCCAACTAAATCGGGGTAATCTACTACATTTTGTTCACCTTTATGTCTTAGTCCCTCAGCTGTTCGAGGGTCAAATTTCTTCCCACAACTGTTTTCTTCACATTTAGTTTGGATGACTTTTCCCTTTTCAGTAATTTGGTCAAATTCTTGCTTATATTGCTCTTGGTTTACCTCCCAGCATTTAAAGTGAACATTTTCTACTACTCCTTTATCTTTTTTAAGTGTGCAATATTCTCCTGACAAATCTTGGTGGCATCCATAGCATTTATTATTTTGAGACATATAATTATAATTTTTACATTTTTGAACACACAAAACACACAGGCAGCACTAAGTTAATTAGAATTAGTCTTAACACCTAAGAAGTAAAATTATTTTACATCACATACCCATGACCAGCACAACAATACTACAACCCCATCAAATAATTAAGCTCGAAAAAAGATTTACCCACCAAGAAATTGGTGATATTTTTGGAGTTAATAAAAAGACTATCCAGAGATGGAAATATTCCAATAGTAAACATAAACAAAAAAGAGGTAGAAAAGTAATCCTTGATAAAAATGACTTACATACTTTATCGTTTACACTACTACTTGAAAGACTATTAATCAAAAACTCTTGGCTTCTAAGTTCTCCCAATCATTAAAAAGACCCATTAGTCAACCTACTATTTCCCGAGCCTTAAAAAAGTTAGGTATTACCTATAAGACAATTACTTACCAATCCATCGAACAACTGAGAAAGAAAAATCAAGAGAAAATTAATTACTTTATCGAGGTGATTATCCCTTCATTGCTCCAATCCAGTGCTAATGTTTTCTTTTTAGATGAAACTAGTTTCCATCTCAATATGGCTCCTTGGAGAGGTTATTATTGGAAAGATGCTCGACTAGTTTATCAAAGACCAGGAGATAAGGGTAAAAATCAAACTTTAATTTTCCTTACTCAAATTAACAATAGAGGAAAAATAATCCATTGAAAACTAATTGAGGGAGGAATGAAAACCAAGGATTTTCACGAGTTTCTTTCTGAATTTAATCCCTCCAACAATGGCAAAAAGAATTATTTGATAATGGATAATCTCTCAGTACATAAAGCCACTAAATCATGTATAAAGTTAGGATTGCCAACCATCGAAGAATTATTAATCAGTAAGAATATTGAACCTATTTACTTGCCCTCTTATACTCCCGAGTTAAATCCTGTTGAAAAGTGCTTCAATATTATTAAGAAATATGCTGAAAATAATCAATCAAGAGAAAAAGAATTACTTTCTTTTGTTGGGGAAAAATTAAAAATTTTCCAAAAAGAAGATTTAACTAAATACTTAGATAACTCAATAAAAGAATGTTTGATGAAAAATGATAAACTTTGCCAAACCCAAAACCCAGAAAGAATGGTTAGGTGTTTTTTTGGTTCCGAAATAGACAAAGCAGTTGAGTTGAGCTTACTAAAATAGATTAAGTAGACATTTTATTTGGGGCATGCTGCAACAAAACCAGACAAAGTGAACATTGGTATTACCAATGATTTCAGGGATCAAAATTTAGTAATGTGATTATTAAAATCCCCCATTTGTTATATTTGGGGGGTTTTCTAGAAAAAACCGGTTATAAGTCTTTTTTACCAAAATTGACTTTTTTACATAACATCAATCTGTAACATTGAAACTATAACTGGAAAAATTTTCAAACCATGTTCGCATAATAAAAAAATGAGTAATTGGGAGCATAGTGGACACTGTTGCATATCAACAGTCATTTGTATAATATGCAGGTGGTTACACAGAGCCCATTGCTTCTGAAACTTCACTAGAATATAGCTGTAACCTCTCTAAGTCCAGATCATCAGCAAGATCAAAATTATCTCACACTTTTATAATCAAACTTTTGCAAGAACTTTCACCATAACATATGTTATGTTGATCATTTTTTTGTGATCTGCAACAGTTATTTACATGTAAGAATTACTTAAATAATTGTTTTTTTATTCAATAATTTGCTTATATATATTAAATTTATATATTTGTTTTATGAATTATTAGAAATATTGTTCTGATTTTTACATTATGTATTCAATGGGTAAAATGAATGATTTAGTTATAATCAGTGAAAATACATAATATTAATTGATTATTTTATTATTATTTTTTTTGGATTAAATGAAATATATATCAATGCAAGTAAAACAGCTATTAAGGAAAAATTATTGAATTTGTGTATAATATTAAATTTATCTATCAAAATAATATCCTATATATTTAGTCACAAAAATGACATCTTTATATTGCTTAATCCTATAATTTGGAGGTTATATGACCAGTTAGTAAAGCTCTTGCCATGTTTTCCTTGGCTTTCTTTTTTTATTCAACAAAAAGATCTGCATAAAATTTAGTAAATTAGGAATACTATTTAGAACTGTTATATGGGGCTGCAACAAAACCAAATTATATACAAGAAATTCAAATGCAAGAAAAATAAGTAATCGAAACATCATATTTTGGAAGAATGTTAACAAGAGTTTGACCCATAGTTACATTATTTATATGTGCGAGAATGCAAAAAGAGTGTTAATTACACTTCTTCAACAAGCATCTAGTTTCATTCATGATGATAGTAACAAATTTTTGACCAAAAAAAAGAGTTTTAAAATTTTCTAAATGTGCAGAAAAAGCATGAAGTAGATATAATTGACATAATGTTGTTTCTTGTGGAATAGTACCACCTTCTTTACAATATTTTCTAAAAAAATTAAGTAAAGAATCAACTTTTCCTAAAGGGGACAACTGCTATAGCAAAGGCTTATGAATTATAATTTTTTTAGATTCAGAAGAAGGAGAGGAGGTAACAAGTGTTTGTTGTAATTGACATTGTTTATACAGATCTTTTTAGTTTACTATTAAGGGGCATCAACTGTTGACTTTCATGACCAATCAGCAGAATGGTCACATCATCAATGTGAAATCTACCAGGATTTTCTTCTACTCTAGGATTAAATTCCTATTATCTAATTATTTTCCTTGATTTCTACGCCTTTCTGCACAGAAAATCATTGTCCAAGGTACACTAAACCCTGTTCCTATTTTGATCGGGTAGAAATATGTTTATTTTATATAGTGCAAGACACCTAGTCCCACAACTTTTTATTGGCATTGTAGAT